CCAATTCTTGGAATTTTAGATAGTGCCACCTCTTTGCTGATCATGTTCTCCTGATACTTTGCCAGTTTTGGGATTTTCGATTTTGGCGTTTTGAAGAATGAAATTCTCGGAAATCCAATTCTGTTTTTATCGAATAAAATAAGTTCAATTGGATTCACAGAGTCTTTTATTCGATAGATTTTTGTTTGTAATTTATGTCAATAGATTTATCTTTACAATTTGATTTTGATTTTGTATTTGCACGGTAATAAAAAATGTTTAATAATAAATGATAATAATGTTAAACCCCAATTATTGGAAAGAAAAGAGGACCGCCGATAAAAATTTGTTGGGGGTGGTGGAGGGCCTCTATAAAGGATATGTTGAAAAACGTAATATCGAAAGAAACGAGAGACATGGAAAGTCTGAATCGAAGTCAGATTAATAACGCATATTCATAGTTTAACAAACTGCATTTTAATTTCATAGATATATTTACACAAAAACAAAATCATCTCATTGCAATTCGTAGAAAGGCCAGATAATCACGTCGTGAAAAAATTCGATTGAGAGAAAGTAATGCTTAATGCCAACCGCACGAATCGAGGGTTTGCAGGGCTATCGTACATTTACCTAACTATCTTGTGTGCGTTTTACGACCCGCTAAACATTATTACATCATAAGTTATTACGTATACATGCACTCTTTGCACGCACACATGCGCATAATACATGCGTGTACTCTACTCTGATAGGGTCATACACTAACTCTTGTATGTACAAAAGTTTGTAATAGCATGGCAAGTCAAACTTATTCAATTTACGTAAAAATATTCGAATAATACCAATATAATATAATACTGCTTCAAAATTAAATTGCCAATACAGCTGCAGTGAAAGAAAAAAACAATCTATTCGAAATTTATATGATTAAAGAAATCGACAGTCCTCTCTTTTTCATATCGGCAAGTTGCTCCACATGGAAGCAAACAATTTATTTTCTTATATGTATAAACGAATGCTCGCTAGTCCGATGTATGACTCGTTGTTTATCAATCCTTACACTAGAATTTAGTATTTACAAATTTATCATTATAACGCTCTAATATCACGGAAATACGATAGGTCCGAAAGCAACATGTCGAATTGATGACGAATCCAAATACGACGCATACGTGTTAAGCGATTACGATTACGATCTATTTTTCTTAATTGTACATAACTGTTAATGAATTAATCGCCTTACCTGATGTAGTCTAGGGATGATTTACACTTTTGATAAAAAATAACAAAGCGCGTGAAGTAACAAGGCAGTTACAGATGTACCTAGCAGATTCTAACTGTATGGATTAAAATTAATGAATATAAATGAAACAGTACTCATTAATTCCATTAGCTTACATATGTCATGAATTAACAAAGTTTATCAAGATTCGGTAGGAATACAGAGACTAATATAAAAAAACATTAGACAAAAATTATTTCGAGTTTTTCGATTTAAAAATATGACTAGCGCACATAAATGTTTAAAAAACTAAAACTCATGTAATATAGTAATTAATTATTTAAACATAAATTTATTCATGTTAATTGTAAGTACAAACTCAGAGAAAACTCTGCACGTAGAAATAAAGCTTATTAATCGTAGGAAATTCGTCGATTTCCTATGGGCCGTGCATCTCTAAAAACTTATTTAAAAAATACAGACAACCAAAATCACCTTGTAAAGTCGCCACGATTATACAAACGTTATACAAGGCGCTATGTACAAATATATCTCTCAAACTCCTAACAATCACTTTAGTACCGTTGAGAAGCTGCTATTCATTCTCCATAACCGCACAAAAATATTATTTCCACTTTTCTCAATCTGAGGTTTCGTTATTTATATGCATATGTCACACTTGCTACGGCGTCAAAAAAATTTCATCTATTATAAATAAATATATTAAATTTAAATAAAATGGACGAAGAGGATTCTTCGCGATACATACTACAAAATACTATTTTAACGCAATCCCTGGCACTTGGCATTCATTGTTGCTAACACAAATGCGAGATGTGTCAATTTATATATAGTTCGTGCTATAACGACTGATCTCTTTCGCAAGGTCGTATCTTAATTTTACGCAATTTCTGTATTATTTTATTCATTTCTGGACCAGAATGAACGTTTAAGCACAAAAATCGAAAATTGCGTAAAATCGAGATACGACCTTGCGAAAGAGATTAATCGATAAGTTCCTTCTCCCAGAGCCTTCTTCTTAATTATTACTAAAATGTTCCAGCTTATGTTACAGTATGGAGAAGATATCGCTTGGTCTCGCTTTGTACTTTAATAAGTAGTAGAACACCATAAATGTATATATGTATATTGGTGTTCCTTTTAATAGGATTCTAGAAATTATTCGTTCCGAGGCTTCGAACGAGGCTTGAGACGACAGGCGCCACTGGTCCAAATCATCTTTGCATTGTTGAGATCTATATACAACGACATACGAGAAGAAGCGAGCGGTCTTTGTATAGAAAGTTACATTCGCTGCATTTCTAGGGCCTTATAGGACCAATAAAGATTTTTTCGTAAGTAGAATAATCGTTTACGGTATTTTACAACTGATTGCTTAAAATAAGTCGACGATATATATATTCTTCTGCAGTAGAAGCGTTATAATTAATATATATTTCTACATAACAAAAAGATTGAGGACGACTCTTATTAATTTTTATCTATCTACTTCTCACGGTTGGTTCTCTATGGATCGTTAAAATTCTGTATATGTCTTATATTGCGATCGTGACAGAATCAGGTCGATAAATTATACGTGCAATTACGAAAAAAATATCAAACATATATGTATATAGTACTTGTCGCTGCTAAAATAAGTTTTTTTCAGGCGAAATTGATATATATATTATATATCGTAAATCTTTCCGTCTATAAACGCTGAATCATGACGAAGTGCACCCTGTTCTAACTCGCTAAAATCTGATTTTACGATATATAGCGAAGAAATTTATGTTTACAATGCAAGTTTTGCAAGTTCGTTGTAAAAGCGTTGGCAACATATTACGTGTATGCTAAAATATTCATTTAATATACAGGGTGAGTCTTTCCATATCCGACAAAATTTTTGAGAAGGTAGAACGGATCGAGATGAATGGAAAAGTCCTGTACCATTTTGCAATTTTCGTAATAGTTAACAAGTAATTAATTATTAAAAATCGTTGTCTTAGGCCGGCCTACCGCCCAATTC